ACCCCTTGCCCAGATCTGCTGATGGTGTGAAGGACCCAAGTTCATCCTGGTACAGGATATGTAGGGTGTATACCCCCCTCCAGAAAGCCCCCAGGAGCAGCTACAGTGGGTGTAGATCCCAGGTGAGAGCAAGGGGGACCTGGAGAAGGTGACGGAGGTCTGCAGCCGGCAGTGATGAACGCAACCTTCATGCTGCTGTGTCCCCTGACCCCATCGAGGACTTAATTCCCTTCTTGCTCTTCTTTCTTCTTCCCAGTTGCAATCGGTGACTCCGTGCACGGGGGACCCAGCGCACCCCCCAGCTAATGCAGCACAACCCTTCAGGTGATGGAGAATGAGAAGATGCTTTGTGCTTGACACAGGATCGAGTGTCCACAGGGAAATTCAGCCTGAAGAGGCAAATATCCCCAAAATCAATCTTCACACCAGGCTATGGCTCACCACGCTTGTCTTCTCATGTGAAGCAGCCTCTCTTGCTCTTACGGTTGGTCCTCACAGAGGTATTGGAGTAACTCTTACCTACAAAGTCCTGGTACCAACCATCACAGAGACACCAGGGGGTTGGCTGAAGACCACCGTGGAGGTATTTAAAAGACGTGTAGACGTGGTGCTTAGGGACATGGTTTAGTGGTGGACTTGGCAGGTTTACAGCTGGACTTGATGACCTCAAGGGTCTTTTCCAACCTGAATGATTCTGTGATTCTATGATTCTAGGCCATTCTTGGCTTGGCTATTGGGCATCAGTGTGGACCAGGACTGAGGTTAATGTAAATTAGTGACGTTACTGAGTTCTTCTCAGCTGTGCCAGGACAGAACCTCTGAAGGTACGTGAGATTTTGCTGGGCAAAGAAAAGATTTGGTAGATCTCGGACATCCACACCAATTTCCACCTTATTTCCCATGGGAGATTCATAGAGAGCAAGAATTTAAGTCTGCTGTAAGTGTTGTTTCCACCATGGGAGGCTGAGCTGCTGCTTAAAATGTTGTCCTCTTCTCAGACAAAGCACAAATGCGAAGGGACAACCAAACCACCCCAACAGGGTTCATTTTGACCGGGTTTTCCCACTTCCCCAAGCTCCAGGTTGCCTTGTTTGTGCTCTTTCTCCTCATGCACATGGTGACCCTGGCTGGAAATCTGGTGATAATGGTTGTTATCAGGGTGGAGCGAGGGCTGCACATGCCCATGTATCTCCTCCTAGGTGCCCTGTCCTTCTCAGAGCTCTGTTACACCTTCTCCATCACCCCAAAGATGCTGTCTGGGTTAGTGTCTGGAACTCGAGCCATTTCTTTCCTGGGCTGTGCTGCACAAACGCATTTCTCCTTCACGTTTGGCTTCATGCTCTCTTTCCTCCTGACGGTGATGGGGTACGACCGGTACGTGGCCATCTGTCACCCCTTGCGTTACAGCACCCTCATGACCTCCCGTGTCTGTATCCAGCTGGTGGTGGCCTCATGGCTGGGTGGGGGTCTCCTGGGGCTGCTGGTGACATGTGCTGTCTTCCAGTTACCCTTCTGCCGGTCCCACCAGATCGACCATTTCTTCTGCCACGTGCCCCCCCTGCTCCAGCTGACTTGTGCTGGTGGCGAGATGGTTGCCACCGTGGTCAACATCCTTTGCATGACTGCCTTGTTGGGTTGCTTTCTGCTCATCCTTCTCTCCTACGCCTTCATCCTTGGACACATCCTGCAGATGCCCTCAGCTGAGGGGAGGCACAAAACCTTCTCCACCTGTGCCTCCCACGTCGCCGTAGTGGTGGTGCATTATGGCTGCGCCTCCGTTATCTACCTGCAACACAAATTGCCCCAAGCTGCGGGAGCGAGTGCTCTCACTGATGTGTCCTACACAGTCTTCACCCCCTTCCTCAGCCCCATCATTTTTAGTCTGCGAAGCAAAGACTTGAAAAATGCCCTTTGGAAATCCCTGAGGAAAAGCTTCGTTGTCAGGAATACGAGGTTTTGGCCGGGCTCTAGTTTCAGCTGCAGGAGTGGTTATCACTAATTTTTTTTTCTTGCTTTTCTTTGGTGGTTCCTCGTTGCTTTCCAAACAATAGCCATACTTCTTCCAGGAAGATGAGTCATTTCCGTGACTCTCATGTCTTTTACACTCCCTGGGGATGGCAGACCTTGCTTGGCTGGAGTGTTTTGGTTTAACATTTAGTGCTACACACTCGGCACCGTGCAAAAGCAGGAGTGATGGTCTCCTCGAAGTGGAGACATGGGCAACTCCTTGAGGAGCAGCAGGTGAATTCTTCTGATACCTGGTGCAGAAGACCGTTGTCGACTGGTCTAATCATGACTTGGCCTCTTCTATTGATGACTTTGTGGCTGGTCCGAGAAGGTCTTGGATTTATTCCCTTTCAATGTGCTCCTCTTTTGAGAAACTGCAAACTCAAAACCACTTGGGGACAAACACAACTTACTGCTCTGCTGTTTCAGAAGTCCCACTTGTCTAAGGCAATTAAAGCTGGCTTTAACAAGGTTGTTTCCAATGAAAGTGTTTTGTGTGATTTAACACTTTGCATCTTTGTAGTCCTGTTTATACAAAATATACGTGTGGGTGGTGAGCCACCTGGAGAGGCCCTTGAGAAGCAGAGGTTTGGAGGTGTCTCATGGGGTGGTTGTGAGTGTCCTGGTGCTGTTCTGGGCTTTGTAGCAGGTAAAGGGGCCTTGGACAGAACTATTTATCCCTTTCATCCATACGAATAACTGTGGCATAAGCACATATTGTTTGTTTTGGGTTGGGTTTTTTTGGGGAGGAGGCTTTCTCTTCATTTCTGCCTGCAGAGCATTCCACAGGCTGCTCTCAACAGGCACCAACTGTCTTTATTTTTCATTTTAAGGGGATTTTAGGACAACAAACCATGCATCCTGTCTTCCTAACACATGCATCGCTGCAAGGGGGGGCACTGAGAGCAATGGTGGGCATTGCTGATGGTGATGGACACGCATCCCCTCAGCCCTTGGAAAGGCCACCAGAGAGAGCTGCCTTGGGAGCAGGGACTGAGATGCATCCCCTGTCTCTGGAGACATCCTTTCCCTGAGACACCAAAAGCTCACATGCACCTAATGACCGATTTCCCACTCCCTCAAGGCAAATTTCATCTTCATTTTGAAATTTGGTTTACTTCAGCACAATTTTTGTGCAACTCCCAGTGGACATCTGTCCACATTGGAAACCTCCCTGGTCCTTCAGTGGTGATGAGCAGATCTTAAAGGTGTATGATTGAGTCTGAAATTCAGAAAATTAATTTCCTTGCCAAGGAAACCAGAGGAGGTGGACATTTCCTTTGGTCACTTCCAGGGTCTGACATGGCAGCAGACCTCCGATGCTATTTAAATACATTTGCATGGCTTTGCAATCACGAGGCTCTTTCTCTTCGGGCTGGGAGGTGGATCTTCTCCTTCACACTAAGAGATTTAAAAGAAAAGGGAAACATAACCCCCATTTTTAAGAA